GATAGATGCATTCTTTTGTCTTCGCATCGAGTTTGGCCCTTTCATCTTTAGGGATATGCACGAAAGCTCGGCATCCAAACACTTTCAATTGATTGTAGGCCGCTTTCCGACCTGTCCAGACTTCTTCTGGAATTTCTCCTTCAAGTGGCCGTGATGGTGAGAGGTTGATTAAATCAACAGCAGTTTTGACGGCTTCTCCCCAGAATGATTTCGGCAATCCGGCATTGGATAACATGCTTCGGACCTTCTCTTCAATAGTTCTGTTCATCCTCTCAGCAAGTCCATTCAACTGTGGAGTCTTGGGGGCGTCTTCTCAAGTCGAATCCCGGCCGCTCTGCAGTATGCATCAAATGGGCCGCAATACTCACCACCATTGTCAGATCGGACCACCTTCAATTTCTTGCCAGTCTCTCTTTCAACCATAGCATGGAATTCTTTAAATGATTGGAGTACCTGGTCTTTAGACTTCAACAGATATACCCACACTTTGCGGGAATGGTCATCAATAAACGAAACAAAGTACTGAGCTCCTTCAAGAGATTTCTCTGACATGGAGCAAACATCAGTATGGACGAGGTCAAGAATATGTCTGCGTCGTCTAGGTTGATCCGGTCTCACAAAAGAAACCCGGTGCTGCTATCCAGCTAGGCAGTGCGTGCAACTCTCCAACGCTTGACCTTTCAACCCGGTTAATAATCCTTTCTTGTTCAGGATCTGTAACCCTTTCTCGCTCATGTGGCCGAGGCGCTTGTGCCATAGCTCCAAGCTAGGTTCATCTCGAACAGAATTGGCTTCTCCGCCATTGATCTTTCCTTGCATCACGTACAAGGAGCCTTCTTTCTTACCTCGGGCCACGACCAAGTTTCCCTTGGCCAGCTTCCATCTAACACTACCAAAGTAGTTCACTAACCCGGCATCATCAAGTTTTCCTACCGAGATTAGGTTCAAACGCATGTCAGGTACATGCCTCACATCCTTCAACACAAGTCGGCATCCGACATCTGTGGTCAGAGTTACATCACTGACACCAACAATCTTGCTGGTCACCTGATTTCCCATCTTCACGACTCCAAAATCACCACCTCGGTAAGAGGAGAAAAAACCTTTGTGTGGAGTAACGTGGAAGGAGGCACCAGAGTCAACAATCCAGGTGCAGTCATCATATGCAACATTCAAATAATTGTCCTCACCAAGGAGGAATATCACGGCATCAGGGTTTGCAGCCACCGCAGTGGTGCTCTTGTCTTCCCTCTTCTTGGGAATAATCTGATCCGGCTTCACAGAGCTGTTCTTCTCATCATTCTGTAGGGTCCAGCAGTCTGGCTTCTTATGGCCTGTCTTTCCACAGTAAAAGCACTTCAACTCATATTTCGGCTTTGACCGACCTCTGGACTTATCTCGTCTGTCACGAGCTCTACCTCGGCTTTTGCTTCTACCGCGGGAGTCAGATTTCCCTTTGTTCTCAGCAACATTGGCCTCAGACGTACTCGAAGTACCTCGTTCTCTTCTCCTGGATTCTTCGCCCAGGAGGCTGTCTGTCACGACATCCATCTTCAATTTTCCATCTAGAGTCGAGTTATTCAGGGTCACCACCAGAGTATCCCAGCTTTCTGGCAGCGAGCTCAACAGCAGCAATGCCTGCAATTCTTCATCAATTTTCATATCAGCCTTTGACAGCTGATTCACAATACCTTTGTAGGTGTTCAGGTGTTCAATCATGCTCATGTTGTCCTTGTATTCAAGCTTAACAAGTCGGCGAACCATGTGTGCTTTGTTCCTGGGAGTCTTCTTCTGAATCATGGACTCCAGCTTCGTCCACAACTCATACGCGTTCGTGAATTCAGACACGTGCTCAAAGAGACTTTTATCAATATATTTCCTAATCGTGGCTACCGCCTTCCGACTCAGGATCTCCCACTCCTTATCGGTCTTGCCTGCCGGTCTCTCATCAAGGATAATGTGCTCATGCAAATCTTTGCAGTAGAGATGATCTTCCATCATCGGTCTCCAATATGTGAAATTATCTGCGGTCAACTTGAACATATCTCCATCATGAGTTATGCCACTGGTCTCCATCTCGTCTCCCTCAGAACCCGTCGAACTCGGGCTCTGATACCACTGTTGGGAAAACTCGGTTCCCTCAAGCTCGGCTCAGGGGCCTTTGTGCGGAAGTCAATCAACAAGATCCTGATCTCGGATCTCGACAATACCTCAGCCTGAACTTCACCAGGTCAGGCAGCGCAGCGGAAAAATCAAAATGAAAACAGGAGAGAGAGAAGAAGAACACAACCAGATTTAACGTGGGAAAACCTTCTCCAATGAAGAAGTAAAAACCCACGGGACCTAGTCCAGATCAAAAATCCACTATGAAAATAATGGTTACAAATAATCAAATACACCAATGTGGTGGTTAACTCAACCTCTCCAACAATGGTGATAATCAAACTACCCTAGAGATGTTTCACTCAAACTCTCTCTAGAGATCTCTCAAATGCAAAGCATAAAGCTTTTGCTCAAACAATCAAATAATTCTCTCAAATCTGACCTCTCAAAATCTAACCTAGCCTCCACCCTCAACTAATGAGTATATATAGAGGAGGTGGAAATTAGGGTTAGGGTTAGGAAACCCCTCAAATGGGCTTGGGCTTAGCATTGAAGGAGGAAGCCCAACAATATATCCAAATTTGTTTTGAAACATATTGTATACAATTCACCTTAGTAATTTGGTGGATAATAATAGCTAAAATGCTTTTTGTAACGATAGTAGTTTAAGAAATTCAATGGCTTTTACTTTCAAATGTATAGCATACTAAGAGTAGTTATTCAATGCTAGTATTAAGATCATTTTTTCATCGTTATTTTTAGTTTTTCGCTAGAGGTGTTATATTATGTTAGGACTCCTCGTAAGAAAATATTTATTTGATGACATCTTTTAATAATGAATTTAGTAAAGGTAGTAACTAAATTTTTACTTATATTAAAATTTTGTTAATATTTTTACTTGTATATTTGTGTATAAATATTATTTTATTAAAATATTTAAATTAAAAAAAATTATATAAAATATGTTAAGAAAATTTTAAATATTTATTTGTAAAAATATTTTTTAATGTATTGAATATGATAAAAAAAATATAAAATTATAATTTTGGATAATCTGATCCTAACCTATAGGGCTTTTGGCCATATAAGCAATTATTATTGAGATTTATTTGAATCTTATTTATTTTTTAATCCTAACCCACACTAGCTAACACTTAATTGAATGGGTTAACCCATTTTGATTCACTGGTTCAAGGCGTGCTAACAAAACATAATTACGTCATCATGAATAATAAAAGTACTGCCATAAGGGCATTAATATCAAATGAATATAAGACTAAACACCAAAAAACAGAGCAGCCAATATGTGTAAATATAACAACTAAAACTGTAGGGGGAAATTCAATTATATAAAGGTGAAAATACATGTTACTTACTCTATATTACCATTTCACAACTTTTTGCAACGAAGGGATTTTATCTCATAATATTTTAATTAAGAAAAATAACATTTTAATAATTTAAATTTCAAATAGAAATATGTTTTTGTTTGGACTAGAGAATTAGTTGTTCTAAAATATGAATTCACGTTCTCTTGGTAAAAATCCACTGAAGCTGGGGTCAATAACATTAAGCATGGAAACTGGCTCCACAGAATAAGATTATAATTGTACACTATAAAAGAAGAAAGGACAGCGGCCACTAGGTAATATTTTCATAAAACATGTAATTAAATTAATTAGAATATTTACAAACAGATTTCAGCTACATATATATGATAGCAGTTCTGAGGACAAACATATCCTCAGAATCAGATAAGTGCTGAAGCAAATGGGTCATAGTTTTGTCCATATTCCTCATAATGGAGAAGTTAATGCTGGTTCAAGTAATCTACAAGAAGCTGTAATGAGTTCATTACAAGAAGGAAGTATTCTTCGTAACAAAAGAGTTGACTACACTGTTTTTGTTGGTTCAAGTAATGCACAAGATGTTGTAAAAGCAATGAAATCAGTAATCTACAAGAAGCTGTAATGAGTTCATCACAAGGAGGAAGTATTCCTCGTAATGGAGGAGTTGACTACACTGTTTTTGCTAGTTCAAGTAATCCACAAGATGTTGTAAAAGCAATAAAGATTTCACTAGGTTCTCTGTTTTTCTTAATTACAAGATAAATTATTAGATTACATCTCCAATATCATTGCAGGTCTCAGGTCTCGGGAAGATTTATTAGATTGTTTAAGGGTTCAAGTTTTCTCGTGTTGTAAGATAGTAGGAGAGAAAAAAAGTAGAGAGAAGTTAAATGTGGGTCCCATCTTTTATATTAAAAAAGAAAAGAAAAATTAATTGACACGGAAAACGAATTTGTGTAAGAAAAGATGTTACTTTCATGTAGCATGAGAGTATTATGTCCCTTGTTTCAATCCTTCTCTTCTCGAAATCAGATGCCCATAGTGCCTTTTTTGAGGGGTGAAAATACATTATATAAAGGTGAAGGAAAATTATATTCTTATGCTACATAAGACTCTTATCTCATTTTACACTCACATAAAAAGACGTGCCTCTCTTTTCTTTCTTTTTTCTTTTTTTAAAAATTGGTGGACCCCATTTAATTTATCTCACAACATGAGATAGTTTCTCTCATACAACATGAGAGAAGTAAAACCCAAAGGTGAAAATACATGTTATTTATTCTATATTAATAGTTCACAACTTTTTGCAACGAAGGGCTTTTATCTCATAATAAATTTCAAATAGAATTATGTTTTGTTTGGACTTGAGAATTAGTTGTTCTAAAATATGAATTCATGTTCTCTTGGTCAAATTCCACTAGAGCTGGAGTCAATACCATTACGCATGGAAACTGGCTCCACAGAACAATCAGTAAATAGCAAGTTTCCACCTTAACAACCTATCCTTGCTTTCCATGCATAATTTAATAAGATTATAATTGTACACTATAAAAGAAGAAAGGACAGCTGCCACTAGGTAATATTTCCATAAACCATGTAATTAATTTAATTAGAATATTTACAGACAGATTTCAGCACATATGATTGATAGCAGTTATGAGGACAAAAATGCCCTTGTGGGCTTGAAGACATGTAAGCTACGACTAGGATCAACCAACCTCACCAGCCAACTTGAGCAACAGATGTCAGCAGGAACAAAAAAACACAGACATATCCCTTACGAACAATCTTAACTCCAAGCCTAACCGTCGAAAACAAAACTTGCAAGTGCTGTCATCATCTAAAATGGGAAGAACAAGTAAGCAGCATTCTAGACCATGAAAAGATATTTCAGATCATCCACTGTAAGGCGAGTTGTAGAACTGCCTGCATGGTCTTCACCAAAAGCAGATGCAACCATTTTTCTCTTGTCTTCCTGCCAGATCACAAGACCATCATCAGAGTATATCATTCCTCTACACATACGTCAGTCAGATACATGCTATCTTCTACCAATTCAAACAATTTTCCCCCCTCACATCAAAGATAAACCATAACAAAATCACTTCATGGATAACCTCCCCTTTATCTTTTAGAGGAAGCAGCCATGCAAATTAAAGTGATATGGGATTTTATGAGACCAATTTCCCTTTGTGAACCACAACTGAACTTATGCTGATCTCATAAATCCCCAGTCGCAAGTTAGACTTTTCCTTTGTACAAGTTAAAACCAAAAAAGAAAAAAATTGTTCTGTCATAAAAATGTCATCTTATACAAGCTTTTGGGGTGAGGATCTCCCAAAATTCGTATCATTCAATAAATTTAAAAAGAGAGCTACATTAAAAAACAGAGTGAAAAAGAAAAGGTGAAACAGAAGACAAATCAAAACTTTCAAATTGGCTCAATTTCCCCACGGACTGCTAAGCCCACTCCTAGTGACCCTAAATCCAATTTTTCCACCAAGACAAATCAAAACTTTCTCTTGGCTCAATTTTGACGCAAAATTAACTGACAGAAATTAATACCTGAAGATTCAGTATTCTATCTTCAACCGTATCTTTTATAGTAACCCGTGTCACTGTAACAGGACGAGTCTGCCCAATTCTATGAGCTCGATCAATAGCTTGATCTTCAGTCGTTGGATTCCACCAAGGATCCAATAGAATAACATGACATGCAGCAACCATATTCAAACCAAGGTTTCCTGCTTTTAGCGACATCAGCATAACAGTTATCTGAAACAAATTTCAGTTGGTCAAACACCAAAGACTACCAAGGTTGCGGCACTTGAAACAGTGGATAATGCAAATTTAAAGTAGTAGTTACAAAACATACTGACTAAAATTGCATCAAGCATTAACAATTCACACTACTAACAGATAGGTTATCATATTACTCAATGTCATTTATGGATTTGCGTAAAAAAGTTACGGCTGTAACAATGGTGGGAAGAGCCAAACCTCAGGATCAGTATTAAAATCCTTAACGCCTTTGTCCCTCGCAACCAGAGTCATCCTACCATCAAGCCTCCTGTATTGTAGACCAGATTGTTTCACCGACATCTCAACTAAGTCCAACATGCTAGTCCACTGGGAAAAAACTATAGCTTTTATTGGTCCTTCAGTTGCGGTCATCAATTTACAATTTGTCTGTAGAACCTCAAGGACGGCTTTGATTTTAGATGAATTATACTCACTCTGCTGCACTAGTGAATAATCAATAAGATGCAAATTTGCAGAACTACTATCACCAAGATCATCATCAGAGATGCAACTCCTCAAAGTAGCTTTGGAGAAAACAAGATCATCACCAATTTGTTCTTTACAATCAACTGCAGGGCACATATTATCATCACCTGTCAAATATTCCGATACACATTGATAACAGAAGACATGGCCACACATTGTGATAACAGGGTCTTCAGGTGGATCCTGTTGAAACCACAGTACAAATCAATCAGAGCCCTCACTGACAACATATTGTTCCTGTTTACCACTAAGCTATAGCAGGTTAACTGAGAAATCAAAATCTAAAACTTCAATTAATCAATTAATTAGTAATAAAAATCACAGAGATTCAGTAATCAATTAATAAAACTTAGTAATAGCAAATGGAAAATTTCTTCTATACTCTCGTAGTACTGAAAATCCAGTATCTTTTACTAAATTTGGAAAAAAGTAGTGTAGCTGACTTTTACCATTTTACCCATCCTTTTATGGTTATTCTCACCTAAGTCCCACATTTTCCTATTTTTATTAAAGGAGTAGGTTTATTAAAGGAGTAGGTACCACTGTAGTAGTACCAAAGATATGTTCCAGCAAATGATGGTTTTGGACATTTTTTTATGCTACTAAAATTTTTTATTTAAAAAGCATCCCCCGCTAAATATACTTTTCTTACTACTCTGGGATAATAATAATGTCAATTTAACCCTTATGGTTTAATAGTCCTTTCCATAACATCATTTTCTTTCATTGAAGGTGTAAGTTGTAACATGTTAAACTTTACCCAATTTTGTAAACAACTTCCACTGGGAGTGTTATTATACCATAAATTTGCAGAAAAACTATACATGTGACAGTCCTAAAACATGACCCGTGTAAGCATATCCATACAAACTTCTGTTAACAGTCTTAAACACTTCATTATTTTTGAAACCGTACAGGAAGTGTACCTCCAAAATATATAGTAGACCTAAAAATATTACATATACCATAGGAACAGCAAAACTAAAAAGATATAATCAAAAGGATATGTGCCATCACGTTCTTGGAGGGCATATTCACAAATCACAACCAAGGAAACAAATAATGAAATATCAATTTTGAAATTAACTCACATGGCAAACGTGACATATTGCAAATGTTGTTTCCAAACAATTAAATAGATTAACCAGCATCTCCCTCGGAAGCCTTTTTGCCATTTCTACAGAATCTTTCCCAACAGGATCAGAATCATAATCTTTAACAAGAAGTGGGTGGTCACAAGCCTGACGGAGACGTAAAAGCATTAAAAGAATATTTGCATAGTTTTGATTCACTGTGCCAGCAGCAGCATATGCCTGCAAAGTACAAGCTTCTCATTTCAAAACTACAACCCTTCAGCACAGAAAGACCATTGAACAAGAATATTCTACAATTTGCAATATTGCATGCTAGATATTAATAAACTAGATACAAAGATTGAGTCAGAGAGGGAATTTAACATCTTCCACAACCCAGCACCTCTATTGTATCAAGTATATGTCTTGATAACTCGTGAATAATTCACTTATGCAACTAGATGACAATTTGTAAGAAAAGCACTTATCTTGGAATCTCTTAGAGGATGTTTATAATAAATTCTGGGATCAATTAGTCCTCTAATTGAGGAAGCAATCTTACAAATTGTTTTGTGATTTCATTATGTTTTCTAATTTGTTTCCTTGATTAATTAGGGATAGTAGTGTTATTGTATGATTGGGTTTGAGCTTGTATTAATAGCACTACAGTATTACTTAACCTTATTCTAACTATCACCTGAATTAGTGCTTTTTGCTGCTATAGCAGCCACGGTTTTGGTTGTGTTAGAGTATAATATAAACCAATTGGTATATCGCAGGGATAAGCATAGAAGCAATTGGGCCTCACGTGCAACTAAGGGCCCAATGGATACAGGTGGTGTGGCTGTTAGTCCAAATAATGCTGACATGGCTGATTGCTCCCGTGATGCTATGGACGAGATTACCCTCCAACAGAATGCAGGTGTGGGATGAACAAGTTGGTTACGCTGTTGGTTAAGAAGAGGTGGAGAGGGAGGCAAGAGGATTCATTCAGAAAGTTAGAAGTTGTTTGGGTCCTTTGGGGATTGGGAGAGAGTGGAACCTCTCATATGTGTTCCACATTATATTTACATTTTCCAGCATTTTAATTTCTTTGAAGCTCACTGTAATATTTTACATTCCTGCAAAAACTCTTGTATTAAGTTCTGTGGTATTGAATACAAGAAGAGTACTATTTCCAGCTATTTTTTCCAGAATTGTTCTTGGTTTCTGTGTGCTGAATTCGTCTCTATCAATTGGTATCAGAGCTCCGATCTAGGAGCTCTGTGGGATGGTCTTGACGCGACAAATGGAACACCGTTTAGAAGTGTTAGAAGAGGGGATGCGCAGAAAAAGTGCTAGACACGAGGCAATTCTTTTGAGGTTAGACGCGAGCGAGGCTCAGCATGAAAAGGTTCTTATGTGATTGGAAGGGAATGAACGGAGTATGGTAGAGATAATAAGGAGGCTAGATGAGATGGCTGAGCGAGGACGAAGTCGTTCGAGAGGGGGAGAACATAATTTGGAGGACGACGAGACAGAAACGCGGGAGGAAAGGAATTGAAGAAGGAATACCCTGAACTTTCCGGTGACTCGACGCTTGGAGATTCCGGTGTTTGCAGGCGAGGATGCTTCTGGGTGGTTGAGTAAAGTTGAGAGGTATTTCACATTGAATAAGGTGACGGAGGCGGAGAAATTGGCAGCGGTGCTGGTGTGTTTGGAAGGAGAGGCGTTCCACTGGTGTCAATGGTGGGAGGTGGGTAACCCAAATGCCACTTGATTGTTATTCCGTCGAGATTTGCTCAGCCGTTTCCAACCTTAAGCGTTGGACAATCCCTATGGAGCTCTGTATACCCTCAAGCAGAACGGAAGTGTGGCGGATTTTCGAAGGGAATTTGAGAAAATGGTTGGAGCCCTACGATTCGAAGACGAGGAATTATTAAAAGGGGCATGGTTGAATGGTGTACGAATTAGTATCAGGGAAGAACTTCTGATGTATCCAAATCTCAGTTTGTTGGAGATGATGAAATTCTCACTGAAAATCGAACGGAGGAACGTAGCTTGGAAAGATGAGGGATGGGGACCAATGGCTAAGAGTTGGGCTCAGGGTTCCCAACGCGCATTGGGCTCACGAACGGGTTCAAGCCCACATGAAGCAAAAGGATGGGGAAATTCGTTTGTGGGCCAAACGGCTGTACACGGCCCAAATCGAAACGCTGCGTTGAATATGGGTGGTTCTAATACTGGTCAGGGCACGAGGAAAGCTGGAACAAAATAAAATTCAAGAGAAGGAGCTATGGCGAAAGCATCTGGGTCAGCCATGGGCATCACAACGGCAAAGAGCTTCACAAATCACGGATGACGGTTGTCGCAGGCTGAGTTACGGGAGAGACATGAGCGCGGGTTGTGCTTCAAATGCAACGAGCGATGGAACCCCACCCATCGTTGTCAGGTGCGACAACTACATCTCTTGCTGGTGAAGGACGACGAAGCGGAAGAGGAGGACGAAAAAGGAGGGAACGAAGACTTGGCTGTAGACGCAAGCAAGTTAGAACCAGATCGAGAGTTGCAGCTCTCTATGAACAGCTTGTTAGGGCTCACTTCGAACCAAACCTTAAAGGCTTGGGGGGAGATATCGGGCAAAAGGGTGGAGGTGATGGTAGATTGTGGTGATTCCATCAACTTTGTGAAGGCTGGTATCGTGGAACGGCTCGGTTTGGTTGTAACAGAGACCTCAATCTACCATGTGGAGGTAGGAGATGGACACAAGGTATAGTGACAAGGAGTGTGCAAGGATGTGCAGATCAGGTTGCAGGGGGTCCATATTAAACAAGATTTATATTTGTTTGAGCTGGGAGGAGCAGACGTGGTGTTGGGACTGGAATGGTTGACACAAATAGGAGACATTAAGGCCAATTTTAAGAAGATGACCCTCCGCTTTGGGCAAGGAGATATAGAGGTGCTGATCAAAGGGGATCCTGCCCTGTCAAGAGCAGAGGTGTCGTTCAAGTCAATCATAAAGGCATTACACGAGCAAGGCCAGGGGTATTTTTTGAGCACTTAAACACTCTGATGATGAGGAAGGCAGAAGCTGGGAAGGACTAGAGTCCTTATAGTTAGAGTACCAGGATTTGTTCCAAGAAGCTCGAGGTTTACCTCTGAAACGGGACAGTGACCACGTCATCAACTTGAAGCCAGGAGACCAAGTGCCAAATATACGACCATAGAGGTACCCTCATTATCAAAAAACTGAGATTGAAAATTTAGTTTCTGAATTGATGAATAATGGGTGGATAAGACATAGCACTAGTCCGTACTCTAGCCCTGTGATCTTAGTTAAAAAGAAGGACGGTAGTTAGAGGGTATGTGTGGATTATAGAGCTTTAAATAAGCTAACCGTGCCGGACAAATTTCCCATACCTGTCATGGAAGAGCTGTTTGATGAGTTGGGAGGGTCAAAAAAAATTTCTAAATTGGATCTGAAATTCGGTTACCACCAGGTGAGGATGAAGGAAGAAGATATTCCAAAAACAGCGTTCAGGACACATGAGGGGCATTATGAATATCTGGTAATGCCCTTCGGTTTGACCAATGCACCTTCTACTTTCCAAGCCTTGATGAATGAAATTTTAAGGCCATTCTTAAGGAAATTCACACTGGTGTTCTTGGACGATATACTGATTTACAGCAGATGCCAAGTGGAGCATGAAGACCATTTGAGGAAGGTATTTGAAGTACTGAGGCAGAATCAGTTGGTCGTAAATCGAAAAAAATGTACTTTTGGGAGTGATCATGTAGAGTACCTGGGACACATAATTTCTATTGAGGGAATCAGTGTCGATCCCAGCAAGCTGAAAGCAATGGAAGATTGGCCTATACCAAAGAATATCAAGGGATTACGAGGTTTTTTGAGACTTACGGGATATTATAGGCGCTTTGTAAAGGACTATGGGAAAAAGGCTAAGCCTCTGACCAACTTGTTGAAGAAAGATGCATTTAAGTGGGATAAAGAAGCTGAGGAAGCTTTCCAAAAATTAAAAGATTGTATGAGCACGGTCCCTGTGCTAGCCTTACCAAATTTTAACAAGGTGTTCACTGTAGTAACTGACGCATCTGGTAAGGGAATTGGTGTTGTCCTCATGCAAGAGAATAGGCCTTTGGCCTATATCAGCCAAGGATTTTCACTTAGAGCTCAAGGTAAGTCAGTGTATGAGAAAGAACTCATGGCTATTGTGTTCGCAATCCAAAAGTGGAAGCATTATATAATGGGCAGACATTTCATAGTGAAAACAGATCAGAAAAGCCTCAAGCATTTGTTGTAACAAAAGGTGTTGGGGGAAGATCAACAAAGGTGGGTATCCAAGTTGATTGTGTTCGATTTTGACATTCAATATTAACAGGGTAAGGAGAATTTGGTGGCAAATGCGCTGTCTCGTCAGATGCTATTTTCCAGCATTTCCAAGTTGCAACTGCCTGATCTGGAGCAATTGGAGCAGGAAATACAGCAGGATGATAAACTGAGAGTTATTGTACAGGACTTGGTAGTGAATCCGGGTGCACATGATGGGTTCAAATTGAGAGAGGGCAGATTATATTTCAAGGACAGATTGGTATTACCCAAAAACTCTAATTTAATCTCCCCACTCTTAGGGGAGTTTCATGACTCGGGTATTAGGGGGCATTCAGGATACTTTCGAACTTATAAGAGGTTGGCTAGTTTAGTGTATTGGGAAGGGATGAAGAAATGCATTAAAGATTATGTGGCTGTTTGTACTGTTTGCCAACAAAATAAAATTCAAAATTTGACACCAACAGGGTTATTTCAACCACTGCCGATCCCTACCAAGGTGTGGGCGGATATCTCCAAGGATTTTATTGGAGGTTTACCAAAGGCTTTGGGTGTTGACACCATTTTTGTAGTGGTGGACAGGTTGTCCAAGTACGCTCATTTTTTTTTTCTCTTACCCATCCCTATACAGCTAAGAGTGTGGCTGATTTGTTCATCGAGGAGGTGGTTAGATTACATGGGTTTCCTATGACAATTGTATCAGACAGAGATCGAGTGTTTATGAGTTCCTTTTGGACTGAAATTTTTAAAAGCGCAAGTACCAAGCTTCATTACAGCACGGCTTACCATCCCCAGACAAATGGGCAAATGGAGGTGGTGAATAGATGCCTGGAAGTATATCTTCGCTGTTTTTGTGGACCAAGACCCAAACAATGGCCCAAGTGGGATCCATTTGGCAGAATACTGGTACAACACTACTTACAAGGACTCCACAGGTATGACCCCATTCAAGGTTCTTTATGGCATAGACCCTCCTACCCTTTTGAAGGAAAACAGCTCAGTGTCAGTAAGGGTGTAAATGGGTTGGGTTGGGCTAGGCTTTGGCTTAAATAGGCCAAGCCTGTGAAAAAAAAAAAAACATTGGGTATGGCCTGGCCTATTAGCCTGTGTATGCTCTAAAGTACAAGTCTGGCCTGACCTATATTCAAAAAATAAAAGTCTTGGCCGAGGCCTGTTAGCCTGTTTAAGCCTATTAAACATTCAACAATTAAATGAATAATTAAAATAATATTATTTTATTATTCAAAATTATTAAATAATAATTTTATTTATTATATTTTAAATAAATAATATGATTTAGGCCGGCCTGTAGGCTTATAGGCCCGACATGTACACACAAAAAACCTATGGCCTGTTTTCTAAATAGGTTTTTAAAAAGCCTAGGTCTATTCTATTTTACTACTTATAATAGGCCAAGCTTGGCCTAATATAGGCTAGGCCGTAGGCCCCTGCAGGCCAGCCTAGCCCATATACACCCTTAAGTGTCAGCCATTGAGGCTGTCTCCCAAGCTTCGGCGGAGCGTGACTCCATTCTACAAGAGCTGCAGCACAATCTGATCCAAGCTCAGAACCGGATGGTAAAACATGCTAATCAGAGACACAGGGACCTCTCTTTTAAGGTGGATGAGGCTATTTATCTTAAACTCCAGCCTTATAGGCTTAAAACAATTGCTCGAAGGGTCAATGAAAAGCTTAGCCCACGGTATTATGGCCCTTATCTCATTCTAGAACGTGTAGGAGAGGCTGCTTATAAGCTGCAATTGCCGGACAATTGTAGAGTGCACCTTGTTTTTCACGTCTCTCTTCTCAAACCTGCTACTTCTTCTGTCACCAATGCTCAGCCACTACCTCCAATTTTATCAGATAATTGGGAGCTACAGGTACAGCCCGAGCCAGTGGTGCAGTGGCGTCGTTCCCACAAGGGTGTCATGGAGGTTTTAATCAAATGGAGTAATCTGCCTGATTTCGAAAATATTTGGGAAGATTTTTCTGTCATCAAAGAATAGTTCCCTCATTTCCACCTTGAGGACAAGGTGCTTAAATTGGGGGAGAGTATTGATACAACCCCAACCCCATTGGTATATCGCAGGGATAAGCATAGAAGAAATTGGGCCTCACGTGCAACTAAGGGCCCAATGGATACAGGTGGTGTGGCTGTTAGTCCAAATTATGCTGACATGGTTGATTGCTCCAGTGATGTTATGGACGAGACTACCCTCCAACAGAATGCAGGCGTGGGATGAACAAGTTGGTGACGCTGTTGGTTAAGAAGAGGTGCAGAGGGAGGCAAGAGGATTCATTCAGAAAGTTAGAAGTTGCTTGGGCCCTTTGGGGATTGGGAGAGAGTGGAACCTCTCATATGTGTTCCACATTATCTTTACATTTTCCAGCATTGTTAATTTCTTTGAAGCTTACTGTAATATTTTACATTCCTGCAAAAACTCTTGTATTAAGTTCTGTGGTATTGAATACAAGAAGGGTACTATTTCTAGCTATTTTTCCCAGAATTGTTCTTGGTTTCTGTGTGCTGAATTCGTCTCTATCATATTACTTAACCTTATTCTAACTATCACCTGAATTAGTGCTTTTGGCTGCTATAGCAGCCACGGTTTTGGTTGTGTTAGAGTATAATATAAACCATTAAAGAGACCCTCACCTGACAGCTTAAGCTTTTGGGTTGAATTGGTTCTTTACATGGTATCAGAGCCTCGTGTCCCGGGTTCGATCCTCACTGCCCCCCACTTTCTCTTGTGGAATTTTCTTAGCACAAGTAGTTGGGCCTGTGCATTATCCACCCTTCAAGCCCAGTGGGCTCTCGTGTGAGGGGGCGTGTTAGAGTATAATATAAATCCTTAAAGAGGCCCTCACCTAACAACTTAAGCTTTTGGGTTGAATTAGTTCTTTACAGGTTGGGATGGTTGTAACTCCGAAATGAATTTTTAACTGAATTTCTAAAAACTAGGTTTAAATCTCATAAACAAGATGACAGTTCCCGGATGCTATTTAGACCAAAAAAATGTATCACAACAAACCCAAGTTAGTATAAACAAATTAGGAGCAAATAAACCTTAAATTGAGAACGTGAATCTGCTTCCAACTTGGTGTAGAAGGCCCGCTCCTCAATGGAGAAATCCACCTTACTCAACTGAATTGTTTTAGGAGGTAAATTGATTATTGGCTTCCCATCAATCAAAGTTCCTAGACAAATACAAGAAATTGATATTATAAGACAGCCAAGACCAATACTTAACCCATATAGTATATTAGACTCCAACTTCAAGGATAACCCAGCTCACAGAAACAAAGCAAAACCTTGATGGCTAAAATGTTCAGTTCACTCCCTCAATCAAACCATATTATGTTTATGGTGAATAATATGGTGAAACATTTGGAAAATATAACAAATTTATTACATCCTACACGACAGTCACGGTAAAAGAAATCAAGGATGAGTTCACTAATTGAAGGAATAATTCCATCATTTAAAAAGCATATGAAAAATTAGCCAAAGATAGATAAATTTTAATGAGTTGACAATGTAACACTATTTACACACTATAGTCCCATTGTTAATGAATTCACTAATTCTGCAGTAATGAAGAACAAAAGAGGATCAATTAAAAGAACATTTTTTTTAAAGATTTTATTGTAATTATTAGGGTAAAACAGTAGAGTTACTGCAGAATTAATTCAGTATGTGTTAGTGCAGCTCTACATTGTTGCTGATCCTATTGTAATCAGTTATTCCCTTGGTTATGCGCTCGGTTAGCTGTTAGTTGAGTTTGAGTTTGATATTTGTTATGATGAGCTGGCAGTTCATTTATATTGTTACAACTGACTCCATATCTGTTGGCTTGCTATGCAAGCTTTCTGTAACTACAAATGTATCTCTATCTGTGTTACAGAGGCTATAAGTTTTCAATAGAAGCATATTTTTCAGAGGCTAAGCTTCGATACTCTCTCTCTCTTTCACTTTCCAGGTTCATTAATGACTCAGTTTTTTCTAACTCTTTGAGAAAACAGCATATTTTAGATTATTCCAGCTGGATCATGAAGATACCCTGTAGGAGAATGAATTTCTGCCGATACAGGAATGGTAGTACAAAAGGTTGAAAATGAAATGAGAAAAAGAATTTTAAAAAGATTATCTAAATGATGAACTTTATTTAAGAGGAGATCAGCAAGAATAATGCAAGGACAATGAAAACCTATACCATGCCAGGAAAAAGGTAACACATACAATCTATCCAGTCAGGACAAAAGCAACCAGATTTAAAATATATAAAAAAATTAAAAAAATAACCTTTTGTCCGACGTAGCATTATGGCCCTCAAAACTGCTTGAAGTTTCTTGTAACCTTGAATAGAATTTCTGGATATTTGAACTTTTATTGTATTGTAGAATGATTTATACACGGCATAAGGATCATACCTCAGGAACCTAAAGTAGCTATATAAATCATCAATAGTATTTTGAATAGGTGTTCCAGATAAACACCACCTTCTTTTGGCCCTAAGGCTACAGCAAGCTCTAGCCACCTGAGTTCTATGATTCTTTATTGTTTGAGCTTCATCTAGAATAACCCTAAACCAACCTACTTTTGCGAGAGGGCCAGAAGAACAATCGATAGAAGAATTCTCAATTCCCTTTCTACCTTTTTTACTCCTCTTACTTCCATCATATGACTTTTTCCTCTTTTTACCAACAGAAAACTCAGAGGACAACCCAAATTTTTCCCCATTTTTTTCATCAACATCACCCTCCTCAACTATCGGTTGCTTTGGAACTTCATTAGTCACAATAGCGTATGTTGTGAGAACCACATCAAATTTTGCAAGTTCAACGGGATCCTTAGTCCTATTGCCCCCATGATAAATCAAAACAGAAAGCTTTTCTTCTCCAACTTTATCATCAAGTTCCCTGGCCCACTGTCTAAGAACACTTGCAGGGCACACAACCAGTGTACCAGCAGCTGGCCTTTTCCTACCTGGTGCCCGTGTTGAACTACTTGGTTCTGTAATAGGTTTTATATCATCAGATTCTTCATTCTTTTTAAGCTTTTCCACATCAGCACTACAATTATCATCATCGTCATCCAAATTCAAAGCTTCTGTTTTATGATTGCATGTATCATCTGTTTTCGATTTTGACTGCAAAGACCTCTGCACTAGAATGAGGGCAATCATTGAAATTGTCTTTCCAAGGCCCTGTTTGAAAAAGGTTTTGATGTTCAGGTAAAATCACTCAATTAAATGTCAAGTGCCATTGATAAGAAAAATTATTGATTAAATATGACCTGATCATCAGCCAAAATCCCCCCCAAGCAATGCAAACTCCTGGTTTCCTTCTGATGCATCCAAGCCAATGCAATTTTCTGGAAAATAAAGTGATAACCAATAAATGGCCCAAAACAGAAATAAAAAAAGCAATTAAAATAGACAAGCCATAATACCTGATGTCTTAGAAGAGAGACAGACAATAGACCATCAGGTAATTCAGCTTCTGCTTTTGGTTGATTAAGTTCCTGTGACAACCAAATTCACAATTGATGTCTCAGGTAAATTTAATATTTTGAAGCATATTCCATAAATCACATTGATGCTGGACAAACATCAATAAGGCATAAGATTAAAAATCAAATCATCTCAAAATTGGGTTTTAAGTTTTGATTTTGGGGCTAATTGTACTGTTCCATAAGCTTTATAGATCACTGTTATCTAAGGTCACTATTTTAGCGGGCTTTATTTTATTTGAACTTGTATTTTTGGACAAGGGGTATTTTTGTAATTTTAGTACATGGGTGGTACTTGGGCTTGAATTCATGTTAAGTTAGATTTTAAGGGTTTTGTACTTTTGTTTAAAAGCCCAAGTTTCCGTTATAGTTTTACTAGTAGTAGAGAGTCTCAGGCATTTCCCTAGGTCTTGCAAGGTAAGTGATAGGTATATGGGCCCGTTTGGATGGGCTTTTTTTCTTCAAAAGTTACTTTTTTTTAGGAAAAAAGCACTTCTCACTTTACGTTTCGTTTGGATGTCTGCTTTTAAAAAAAGCAGAAGTCACAAAAAACACCAAAAACCTACCTCTTTTAGAAGCTAAAAACTTTAGCTTCTAAAAAAAGCAGAAGTCAAAAGTCAAATATTTTTTTCAAAAACTAAATATTTTTATAAAAATATAAATAGCGTTAACTTTTGTAAAAAGTACTTTTAAAATAAGGAAGAAGTAAAAGTTACTTTTTCTAAAAGTCCAAACAAACGGACTCTAAATAGGCCATGGCATATCAAAAGCATCATATGCACATTTGTTTTTAAATTTTTATCATGACCATCAAAGAAAAACAATTCAGGTTCTGAAAAACCTCAACACCAAAGCAATGACCAGAAATTTGAGCAAATAGTTTATTCCAGAGAATAAGTCCTACAACTCCATCCCAATGGAGATAGTATAATAATTTTGACACCCTCAAATCAAAAACAATTCACACAAACTGATGGGCATGGACAGGAGTACCTGATGTCCAGCATGTAAAGGAGTTAACACCTTTTAAGAAAGAAAATTGGCATTGAACACCAAAAACTAAGAAACAAAAAGCAAGAGAACCAGCTTCACCTATTATAGACAGGTTCGCAACATCCTCTCAACAACTATCACCAATTTTCTAAGGAGTCAACCTTGACAACATATCACATATAAGTCCCAAATGAATATTCACGCTTAAGCAAATAATTTTTCATTAAACTTAAAGAGATGAAATGTTTTAACTAAGTAATTTCCAATCAAACTTAACAGAGGGAATATCCTTTTCATAGAACTTTGATAATCTTAAGTAATTAAGTATACAATGATAAACAGCATGTAATACCTGTAACGCTGCCTCATAAATTAGTCTTTCATCATTTCCAGGAGCCCTTTCATCTCCTGCTCCAGAACGGTTTGCAGATTCACTAGAACTAGCAAACTGTGGAGCTATAGCCTTTCCAAGCATCAAAGATGAAGGAAGCATCCTAATCCCACCATTTTGATGCATGAAACGATCTTCATCATTGCCCCTGTTAAAATTGTCACGAATGAAGCCTTTGCCACTGGATGTGCTAGGTCCTACTCCATGGCGACGATTCCTATATGCATCATGAAGCTGACTGCTGCTCATGTTATCTTTTAAGTTGCTTAATCTGCTGTCTGGGGCAAGTGATGAAGATGGAAGAGCCCTTGCTGCAGATGGTTGAAGAGATGACGGAAGGGTCCTCTTGAAAGCTTGTTGAGATGACATTTTCTCATAATCGGCACCATACATGTTAGAAATTCGGGAATTAACTGTCTGATGCTGACTTGTGTTTCCATTCTGGGTATGATAGGAAGTTTCATCTCTCCGTGCAACTCTGTGATTCAGTGTATTGTTGCTGGACACAGGTTGAGTATGAGGCCTGACTTGTGAATGATTATTAATGTTAGAAGAGCTCGTGTTTGAAGTATTTGCCCCTCTTGAAGAACTACCCTGCCTAGGCCACCCACCATAATCTGCACATAATATTACATGTACAATGATTGCTAATTTATAAAGAAATAGCATTAGAGGGGAGCTTTAACTAAAGATCACCCACCTGAATTCCTTTCACTAGCAGCCCAACGTGGGAGACTCCTCTTTGGATCTTCTATCTCCTCCAAGTCATCATCCGATGAACTAATATATATACACGCATCCATGAACTCTAAAGAATGATTTTCTCTTTCCTCAGCCAACCTAGAAAGAGAACCATTAAATGCTGAGCCAACCTGTAGTCAAGAGGCATCATGAACATCTCGTAACAGATGACAAAAATTAAAGCTTCTCCACATGAAAATGTCTTCACTCACCACTTTTGTATAAGGTTTCGATATTAAACCAGAAACCCAACCACCTAGAAGAGAACAGAGTCTCCAAGTTGAGTTGATGAAATGATGAATATGGTCCCCGTTGTCATGCATCTACTTGAACCACATTGTAGCTTCCTTATTAAATAACCTATTCATCAGCAAGGAAGGAAAAAAATAAATGAAACAGAAAGTAAATGCCATTTTAATATTCAAAGACCTCTACATGGAAGAAGTGTTGTTATTTTCCCCTATCCTTGAACGGTAAAATTTGCACTACAAAAAGTAATAAATTTCTGAATTATGAAATATGTATACAACCGGAAGCATATCAAAGGAAAACCGCATTTATGGATTTCTTTTTCAGATAAAAATGATGATTGTTTTATTAACAGAAGAAAACAAATATCACAAAACAATTAATAAGGTATTATCAATTAAATAGAAGGAAAAAAAATGTCCAAAACAACAGTCTTCCAATCCAATGAAATTGGAGGTTCGTTCAAAAAAAATATCACAGTCCACTGCAAATACAGTATGAAGCATTCATGAAAATACAGCACATGGTCACATCCTTTGCTTGGACAACTTAGTTAACATCATTGATAACATTGTTTGCAGATTCTTAGAGCCACGCTGCTCTTTCCCCATTTTTATGTCACCTGCATTTTTATAACCCAAACTTGCTCAATGAATCTCATCTTGCCATCCTCCTTAAAATTCAATGAACTACCTTTTTAAACTAAGAAGTAGAGCTCAAATCCGAATAATCAGTGAAAGACCTACAGAAATTTTCCTCCAAGTAAAGAGACCCGTAAATTTCAGTAATTGAGCAATATTAAAATCAGGGTTCCTAATAATGCAGCCAACATCCATCATAAACGCCTTAATCAAACTCTTTTTCCTCCTCTTAGCCACCATTCTGCTACCCCGTAATCAATTAATTCTAACAAAAGTACATCACCAGTTTGTTCTGAAATTCAATTAAAAGCGCAAAGATAATTATGACTAAAATAGACACACTCATTTTGTATAAATAGGAATATTTCCACCCATTAATTAAAAAAAAAAATGCATTCCCACCATTGAAGAAATTCATACTCCAACGGGCAATGACAATAGTATTAAAAAAAGAAAATAAACAGCCAAACTAGATCAGTGCAACTGGAATTAGGTAGAGAAACCAAGAAAAGGGGAAAAGGGGAACCCAAATTCAAAACGTGCAAAACCACCACGACATCAACTTAAGCCCATACGTGGAAAAAGAAAGAACAAAAAAAGAAATGCAAGAATCGAAGAAATCTCAGTGAAGAGTTGAGGATTGCCTTTTGATTAGTCAAATGTGTGAAAAGATTGGATCTTTGATGAGGAAATTGAAGGATGCAGCAGACAAGCATTCAGAGACTAGGGTTCTCACCAGTTTTAAACCAAAACGCAGTAACCGAAGAGTAAAAGAGGATTAAAACGACATAGATTGGAAGGAGTAGGAGTTCACTTACCCAAATTCTGAAGGAAACACGGAATGCGCGACTAGAAGATTGAACTTCGGGAAGAACGAGGATCACGACTTACACTTACGAATCACTCTTCCGTCCACTGTGGTGTGGTTTTGTTTTTGTTTGTGTTTTTTTTTCATGACATATTTATATACTTTTATGATTTAACTTTGGATTTTGTGTTTGTAATTTTAAACGAGATAAATTATGTCATTTTAGGAAAAAGATAGACACAAAAAAACGGAAATAATGAGAGAGTGAAAGTAGGTGATTTTTTTTAATTTAAAATTCAAATTTTCTGTGTCTATATCTCTCTTAAAATAACATAACTTTCTGTCATTTAAAATGACAAATATTTTTCCCTTTAATTTTATTCCTTACTTTAAACAATATAATTTAATTTAATTTAAGATTTTGCTAATAAACTACGAATGATAGTAAAAAACAGTATTCAAATTTAAATAATAATTTATTTCATACTTCCTTTTTTGAATATATACATTATTTTTGTAATTTAAACTTAGATGTGATCCCGAAAAATATGACTTGATTGAAGATTAAATGCAAACATGGTTGAGATTATTCAGGAAGAAATAATTTATTTTTAAAAAAAATCTTAATAGTATTATTAAAAAATTAATTTAATTAACACTCGATTTAAATTTTGAATTACAAACTCATTTACTCTATCTTTTGAATTTAGCCATTGTTTATCTCCATGAAAACGGAAATATTTCTAAAATCTTGTAGGTTGTTTCCAACTACCAATTGGACGAACCTATATGATGCAATATCTTATGACGTGTCAACTTTCTTCTTTAGATCCATAACTACTTTGACAGTACAATCCACAAGAAGTTTTGGTAACAGACAACTACTATGTTCTTTCTTTCCACTAGTAATTATAGGGAAAATTATTATTTCTCTAATTACTGAAGATAACTTTATCTTTCCGTGAGTTCAAAATGACGTTATCTTGGGTTATAAAATTAAAAAATTATAATGATAAAGACTAATATAATCCTGCAATATATTAAAATTACCTTGATTTTCGTCCCAAAATGACATCGATTTGGGCTCACCGGAGATAACTTATCTCCATTGACCGGAGAAATCATTTACCCTTAATTATATTGTGTTTTTAAGCTATTGTGATTTTATAAGGAAAATATTTTTGATATTACAGACGTACCGATCATTCATATGTCCTTTATTAAATATGGGAAATATATATATATAGGAGTTTACATTTCTGTAGCTGTTGTACGTGCAGCAATCAAATACTTGCCATATATATGTTTGAAAACATTAAATGTTGGGAATCATAATAATACACCTGTCGTTGTTGTACGTAAAGCGGCTGAGAAAATAATTTTACCATATATATAGAGAGATAGGATACTTTGACACCTCATTTGAGAGCAATTAGATCAAAAAAGATCAATGGTGTCACATGCTTACAAATCAGAGTTGTTGATCTTTTTTGATCTAATGGCTCTCAAATAAAGTGTCAAATTTCAAATTTGATACTGGTGTCAAAAAATCCTACCTTATATATATATATATATATATATATATATATATATATATATATATATATATATAATGGCGGACCTAGGTTGGTTCCATTGTCTGCACTTGCAGACATAAAGTTGAGGAGGAAAAAAAATCACATAGGGTGTGTGATTCAAGTCAAGTAAAAAAAATATATATGAAGATTAAAAGAAAAAATGTAAAGAGTGGAGGAGAATCACACGGGATTTTTCATGTTTTTTTATGAAACAAAACTGGTCAATTTTAGATCAAATAGACATTGACAAGGGTGGATTGGGTGGATTTTTGATCGATTAACCCCTACAATTATACTATATTTTACAAATGTCTTTTTGTGGTGTTTATTTATTTTTTAATTATTATTATCGATTATTTCCTTAAAACTTTGGTTGATTCACCAAAGCTTTACTTTTGAAGTGAAAGCAAAAATTGGATCATAATTATGATCTTTAAAAAAAAATCGAGGGCGACACCCCCAAACCCTCGCCCTGAGTGTGCAGACATAAAGAAAAATTTATGGATCCGCCACTGTATGTATATATATTTCTCTTTTCTTCAATTTATTAGGGGAGTATCTACTCCTGTTACACCGAAAATTTACTCTTTATAAGGTCACGAAACGCATTCGATAAGGTATAAATATTAGAGCTCCACTTCCTGTCATTTTCTTCTTTAAGATTCAAATGTGAAAAAAAGGAAACTTGCTCTTAATTTCCTCAAAAACACGTAAAAGCTTAGGACAGACCTATAATATTCCTAAAATGTCATTCATTGGATAATTTGCATCAATGATGAAATGAGATAATTTTTCCATTGCTAGGACGAAGATGTAAGGTGAGAGGATGTCTCCTTGACGAATTCCCCTTGAAAGATAGTAGTCGGGTTACAACCAAATAACAGTAGCTTTAGAAGATCAAGAGAAGATAACTTTTACATGCCCTTGCGGAGTTTTTGCATACCGAAGGATGCCTTTCGGATCATGCAATGCTCTAACTACGTTTCAAAGGTGTATGTTTTTTTATCTTATCTGATATGATTAAAAAATTTATCGAGATTTTCATGGATGACTATTCTGTTTTTGGTTCCTCTTTTGACTCTTGTTTAGAAATTGTCATATGTTTTGCAAAGATGTCAAGAGAGTAATTTAGTTTTGAATTGAGAAGAATGTCACTTTATGGTAAAAGATAACATTGTTTTAGGCCATAAGGTTTCTGAAAAAAGGTATAGAATTATAAAGAGCTAAAATAACTGTTATTGAGAAACTCCCCCTCCCACTAATATGTGCGGTGTGCGTAGTTTCCTGATCATGCAGGTTTTCATCGACGATTTATCAAAGACTTTTCAAGAGTTGCTAAGCCTCTATGCAAGTTGTTGGTTAAGGATGAAGAGTTCAACTTTACTAGATGAGTGTTTAATTGCTTTTAATTTGTTAAAAGAAAAGTTGACTACTGCACCTATCACTACATCACGTGATTTTACTTTGCCTTTTGAACTGATGTGTGATGCTAGTGATTATGCTATAGGAGCTGTTTTAGGACAAAGAAAAGATAAATTGTTGCATGAAATTTACTATGCTAGTAAAATTCTAAATGATGCATAAATGAATTATGCTACTACTGAAAAAGAATTACTAGTTGTTGTATATGCATTTACAAGTTTAGACCTTGTTTACTTGGATCTAAAGTGATTGTATACACTGATCATGTTGCTTTAAAGTATTTGTTTAATAAGAAGGATGCAAAGCCACGACTACTCAGGTAGATGCTACTCCTTCAAGAGTTTGAAGTTAAGATAAGAGACAAGAAAGGAGTGGATAATTTAGTAGCTGATCATCTTTCTAGGATCCAAGAGAAGGATCTTCAAGACAGACCCGAGTTGATGATCAGAGATGAGTTCCCAGACGAGCAAATTCTTTCAATCAGTGGTCTCCGATTTATTAAATGAAAAGTGCTAAATGTTGATAATCCACCATGATTTGCATATTTTGCAAATTTTAAAGCTTGAGGAACAATTCCTTAAGACTTTTCTTTGCAACAAAGGAGGAAATTTTTGCATGATGTCAAAAAATACATATGGGATGAACCTTTTCTATTCTACAGATGTGCTGATGGAGTTATAAGGCGATGCATTCCCGAAGAAGAGATGAAAGATGTCTTACGACACTATCATGGTTCAAACTATAAAGGACATTTTGCGGGAGAGAGAACAACAGCTAAGGTGCTTATGAGTAGTTTCTATTGGCCTACACTGTACAAGGATGCCAGGAAGTTTGTGGAGGCTTGTGACAATTGTCAGAGGATGGAGAATATTTCCCGAAGACATGAGATGCCTCTTAACAACATACTATAAATGGTAATATTCGATGTGTGGGGCATTGATTTCATGGGACTCTTTCCCACTTCAATAACAGATGGGTAGAGGCCTTGCGGCGGGTTAAACCCACTTTGATCCACTTTTAGGCGAGGCGAGTTAAAGTGAGTTAGTGGGTTGAAAACCACAACTCAACCCATCCCATTTTGACGGATTAATGAGTTCACCTGTCGGACTTAACCCATATTATCACTTTTAAGCTGCACCAATTCCTGGTGGAAAAAAAAAGCTACCCTTAAGCCTTCCTCTCCGAGCCATCCACTGTGCACAACAAACACAACACAACTTTACAAAAGCAAATAAGACAAAAAGCTCACCCCTTTTTCCACTATACTCTCTTGTGATATATATGTACTGCAGCATTTACTCTCACTTTGTAATACAATAATAGTATACATTTTGTTATTTTTTGTTTTTAAGACACATGTTGAAGATAAAAATAACATTTGTTGAATTAAAGTTCTTAAGATGTTAAATATTTAATTTTTTTGGGGAGAGTTATACTTACCTTCAGGTAAATTTACCATCCTTACAAGTTACAACCAAGTCATCACCGTCAAATTAGAATTAAATCCAACAGTTCATAATTGTTCTTTATAATCTTAATTTTTACTCTCACATCCCCCCTTTCTCTCTCTAGATTTGAAATATGCACATCTCTCTCTAGGTTTGAGAATCACCTCTCTCATCCGCTATTGTTACTGCGCTTTGATCTTCAGCAAAAATAAATCTCCAAAACAAATAATCGGATGAGTTAATTCATATGTAAACATATATCAATTCATATGTACGCTAATTCATAATTTGTTGTATTTTGTAGCAATTTGGTAAATAGCCAAATAGGCTTTATAGCAATTCAAAGGTTGGGTGCTGTCCGTGGGATTCGTAATTTCAATCCATTGTTGTATTTTTGTTTTTATAAAGATTAAATTTTTTTTTTCTTTTATCTGTTACGTTCGTATTATAATATCATATCATAGTATTGTTTATTGTCACTTGCCTGTAATTAGGCGTGGGAATTGAGTGAATCCGAATAACAGGATTGGTTTCAGTATCTTTCTCTTTTTTCGTATCATTTTTTTTACGCTGATTCGCTGATTCTTAATTTGTTGTGTCTTGTATGCATTTGCACCTCATTCTATATGTGATTCCGAAGAACTAGGAGTGAAGAGAAGAATTTGGAGAGAGAAGTGTGCAGATTCCAAATTTAGAGAGACAGAGAAGGGATGGAAGAGTAAAAATTAGGATTATAAGAGATAATTTTGAATCGTTGAATTTAATTCTAATGTGACGGTAATGACCTTGGTTGTAAGGATAGTAAACTTACTTGATTGTAAGTATAACAGTCCTCGTATATTTTTTTTTAGGAATATATAGAGAGAGAAGGAGGTACGAAATACGATATTAAAATCTCACGCCAATTATTTAACATCTTATTCTAATTGTATTAGCTTTTCTTATTCCCTGAGTAAATTTTCAAGGGGGTGAGGTGAAGTAGTTTAATGTTTTAGGCAGGAAATAATAAAAAAATATTTTTAAAGTAGATCCATTTCTAAAAGAAATGAATTAGAAATATGTCAATTTTAAAATTATAGGGTTTTATACAATTTAAAACATGGAGAAGGTTATATTTATAAACTTTTTTTCTTACAAATTATACGAAGCATGACTGGTCAGACTTCAATAAAAGTCAAACATAATGTAATTTGTAAGAATTTATAAACAAAATTTTTATAAATATAACCTTTCGATTAAAACATTACATTTTTTCAAATGCGTTTTATACGTCCAGACAGCCACCTTCGGCCCTGCCTTTTGTTTTTGTTGGATACATTTATTTTCTGAGTCTCAGGCAACACCATCAATTTACTGTCCGATCTCTGGGCAAAGAATTTAGCTTTTCGCTCTGTGAAGCTTCAACGCATCGAAGAAAACTGCAGGTACTACTTATGTATCTGCAATCGCAATTGTCTATGATTAAACTGTTGGGATATTTCAGTGTTATGAGTCTTACATTAATTGATAGTGGGCTAAATAAAATACATATAAATAAGAGGACACATGAACCCAATATTTTAAGATTTTGGATCGAGATGTGATATTAAATCCACTTGTTATATTTGATCCACTTAGCTCATTGGTAGTGGTTTCCCACCATGGACTTCCCAGTTACCGCTTCAACCCGCTCAGCTTAGTTATAGTTCATAACGGGTTGATGGCGGATTGGCCCGCAGGTTAGTTTTTTTTTACTATTAAGTAGTATTTTATTTGTCACTAAACTTTTGTGATAAAATTTTTATTTTTATTTTAGTACTTCCCTAGAAAAATGAAAAAGAAAAACTTTATTTATGACAAAAGTTATCTATATAAGGAGGCAAAAATAAATTCTTAAAAAATATTTTACTAAATATTAGCTTATATTTAGGCTTGAGATTCGAGAGAAAAATTATAGGAAGTGTGAAATAAAAATAAGTAATATTATAAAATTAAAAAATATGATTTTTTATTATTTTTTATTTTTTAAACTGGTTGACTTGCCAACTCATCTCAAAATGGGGTAGATTGATATTACCAACCCACCATCAAATGGCGGGTCAATCCATCCCGCCCCATCGGGTTTTTGACGGATTGACCCATTTTGTCACATCTAATTGACATACTTTCACTGTTCCTGTGACAAATATATGAACCACCAATGGTTCAAAGCCTCATAATATTGTATAACATACTTTGTTCTACATTCTCCCTAATTTGTGATCCATGAGCATTAACTTTCGGAACTCATTGGCTTTTATGTTTAAAGGACGACATCTTTAACTGTTTTCATGTGATATGCTGTTTAACGCAAAATAAAATTTACTGTAGGGGAAGGGCAACATATTAGCTAGTTGATGCATATTCTTATGGGTGATTTTTTCTTAAGAAAAATAAAATAAAATAAAGTAAAATTTCTGCAACTCTAAATATATTGTGCATAAAAGAATATTTAAAGTTGGATCTTGTCTGTTTAGGAAATATATTGATCATGGGTAGGCCAAAAGATAATTACTACTGAATTTTGTGCATATGGCAGAAGATGGTACGATGCGGTGCAAATTTTGTAAACATGAGTTCAAGGGAGGTGTTTCAAGAATTAAAGGTCATGTGGGTGGGGAACCAAGGAAAGGCATTAAGTTATGTGATCATGGCTCTATTCCTAGTAAGGAAGGAGTTGACTACTATGTTAACGCTGGTCCAAGTAATCCACAAGATGCTGTAAATCCAATGAGTTCATTACAAGGAGGAAGTATTCCTCGTAAGGAAGGAGTTGACTACTATGTTGGTGCTGGTCTAAGTAATCCACAAGATGCTGTAAATCCAATGAGTTCATTACAAGGAGGAAGTATTCCTATAGTAAGGAAGTAGTTGACTACTATGTTAATGCTGATCCAAGTAATCCACAAGATGCTGTAAATCCAATGAGTTCATTACAAGGAGGAAGTATTTCTCGTAAGGAAGGAGTTGACTACTATGTTAATGCTGGTCCAAGTAATCCACAAGATGCTGTAAATACATGTAAGCTTGAAAACATGGATTTAAAGCAGTTCTGAGGACAAAAATGCCCTTGTGGGCTTGAAAACATGTAAGCTACTACTAGGATCAACCAACCTCACCAGCCAACTTGAGCAACAGATATCAGCAGGAACGAAAAAAACAGACATATCCCTTAAGAACCATCTTAACTCCAAGCCTAACCGTCGAAAACAAAACTTGCTAGTGCTATCATCAACTAAAATGGGAAGAACGAGTAAGCAGCATTCTAGACCATGAAAAGATATTTCAGATCATCCACTGTAAGGCGAGTGGTAGAACTGCCAACATGGTCTCCACCAAAAGCAGATGCAACCATTTTTCTCTCGTCTTCCTGCCAGATCACAAGACCATCATCAGAGTTTATCATTCCTCTACACATACGTCAGATATATACTATCTTCTACCCCTTCAAACAATTCCCGCCCCCCTCCTCTCACATCTCAAAGCTAAACCATAACAAAAATCACTTCATTGATAGCTTCCCCTTTATCTTTCAGAGGAAGCAGCCACGCAAATTAAAGTGATATGGGATTTTATGAGACCAATTTCCCCTTGTGAACCACAACTGAACTTATGCCGATTCATAAATCCCCAGACGCAGGTTACACTTTCCTTTGTACAAATTAAAACCAAAAAAGAAAAAAAAAAATTGTTTATGTCATAAAAATGTCATTTTTCAACTTATACAAGCTCGGGGTGAGATTCATATCATTCAATAAATTTAAAATGATAAAAAACAGAGGGAAAAAGAAAAGGTGAAACAGAAAACAAATCAAAACTTTAGAATCAGCTCAATTTCCCCATGGGCTGCTAAGCCTCACTCCTAGTGAATGTAAATCCAATTTTTCCACCAAGACAGACAGTATTTTGACGCAAAATTAACTGACAGAAATAAAGACCTGAAGATTCAGTATTCTATCTTCGACCATATCTTTTATAGTGAACCGTGTCATGGTAACAGGACGAGTCTGCCCAATAGCTTGATCTTCAGTTGTTGGATTCCACCAAGGATCCAATAGAATAACATTGACATGCAGCAACCATATTCAAACCAAGGTTTCCTGCTTTTATCCATCAGCATAACAGTTATCCGAAACAAATTTCAGTTAGTCAAACACCAAAGACTACCAAGGTTGATAATGCAATTTCAGTGGATAATGCAATTTAAAGTAGTAGTTACAAAACATACTGACTAAAATTGCATCAAGCATTAACAATTCACACTAGTAACAATTCACAGCAGTAACAATGGTGGGAAGAGCCAAACCTCAGGATCAGTATTAACTGTCTGATGGTTGAAGAGATGACGGGAGGGTCCTCTTGAAAGCTTGTTGAGATGACATTTTCTCACAATCGGCTCGGCACCATACATGTTAGAAATTCGGGAATTAAGTGTCTGATGCTGACTTGTGTTTCCATTATGGGTATGATAGGAAGTTTCGTCTCTCCGTGATGCAACTCTGTGATTCAGTGTATTGTTGCTGGACACAGGTTGAGGCCTGACTTGTGAATGCAGCAGACAAGCATTCAGAGACTAGGGTTCTTTCCAGTTTTAAACCAAAACGCAGTAACCGAAGAGTAAAAGAGGATTAAAACGACATATGAAACAAGAATATTTATATTATCCTTATTTTTATAATTATTTTATTTCATATTTTTTTATTATTATTTTTTATAAAAGAATACCTTTTCCCATTGCACCAAAATTCTACTCCACCATTTCTGCCTCTGCACTCTGTAGCAAACCCTAATTTTACAAGTATTCCTAAAATGTCATTCATTGAATAATGGAACACAACTCATTGGATAAACACATTGTTAACAATGGGATTGAGTTAGTTAGTTAATTCTCTCTTGATGATAAATGTATAAGTTGAATTTCAATTTCAATTTTAATTTTTTTATTAATAGATAATTGAGAAGTATCCGTTTATAAATTTTTTTTTACAAATTACACTGAGTATATCTTCTTAGATTAAAATATGACCTGTCATATTTAGTGAAATTTGTAAATATAACATTTTTTTGTCGATAATATGTATTTTCATTATATATATATATATATTAAATGGTGGTTTGTTATGGCTTTAAAACTTGTTTGCTAACCTGTTTTGATTTATTTGTCTTTGTCAGTTTTATAATTGTGCTGTCATTAAATCGTACATGCTTTCGCTTTAAATCCGTTATTAGCATTAATTGCAAAAATTTATTTTATTAATTGCTTGTGTGCTTTTAAATTGCATTTTTATTAAATATTGCGTGATTTTGAATCAACGCATACACCGTGACACTAAGAGCTGTTTGGTAGTCGGTATTTTTTAGAATTCTTGAGAAAATAATTTTTTTTAAATTTTTAATTTTTGAATATTATCGTAAACTGAATATTTTTATCATATTTCTGAAAATCGAAATTTTCAGATAAAAAAAAAATCTGCTCTGCCAAACGTCCCTGAGGTTAATATCTTTAGCCAAGATCTCTATAATGTGATTTTGTTATTTTTATGTCATTGTATTTGCGTTATGTTCTTATATATGTAGTATTAAGATATTAATATGAACATTTTACTGTTTTAATTATTGTTATATTTTATTATAAAATATAGGTTTGGAAATTAATCAATATGAAGTGATCTATAACGTTTAATTAGTGAGAGATTAACCATATCATCTTTAATAATTCAAAATATATATTAAGAATTTTTTTTATATTCAATATATTAAGAGCTTTTGAATCACATAATATATATATATATATAAATAATTGTAATTGATAACATAAATTTTAATTGATAACATAAATTTTAATTATACTTTATATGATTAATTAGGATATAATATCAAATTACATTCTTATCCCATTTGTATAAGTTAATCATTTTATCATAAAGTTTTATATGAATTTGTATCAAATTGATTCATTGCGACGCACTTACAGTTGTCCCATTGCACATAGTCCAACCATTGATTCAAGAAGCCTGAAGTCAACCAGAATTGTGGCTCAATTGTTAAAAGAAATAATAATTTAAAATATAACAAACTACAATCAAATTTAAGTTCAATGAAGCAGCAGATATGATTGTAATTTGTCTGACAAAAAAAATAAAGCAACACATTTGACATGATTTGAAATCTTAGATTTTGGACGTGTTTTGAATGATTTGATTGTGATTATTCATTTTTTTTTAGATGTTAATTACCGTTATATTTATTTTAGAAATTTTTTATTTTTACAATTTTGGATTTTAAATTTTAAATTTGGATCAATTTATAATTAGTCTATAAAAAGGTGCTTATGACCCTTATTGGAGGGGTGAAATTTCATTATTTTGTTAATAGAAATTAAGAAGAGGAATGTTACTCTTTTATGGAATTCTTATTTGCTGTCTAGTCATATTTTCTATGCGTTTTCGACATCTCATTGCATGTATTCCTTATTTGTGGTTATATATTTTTACCTGCAAATTATAAATGTTTATATGTACCGTATTTAATGTCTAGTATTCTATGTAATTTAATTGATTATAGATTAGTCATATTATATATGAATTATATACTAAGAAGTAAGAACCCCTGATTATAATTAATGTCATAATTAATTGAGTTAACTATTTGAATTCAATTAATTAGAACAAAATAATAAATCATAATTCTTAATTTACCCATAACTATTGAGAAAGTGATAATAGAAATATTGGTTGATTAATCATCTCCCCCTGTTATAAAAAAGTAACACTTTACCCTTATTTTGAAACTATATATTAATTTGTCCTTCTTTTCAAACTATATACTGATGTAATGCTATTTGACAAAAAATTACCTCATACTTATTCGAGTAAATGACTTACTAAGGACTAGAGTTTGGTCAAATTTTGGTAACAATGGGCAGATTCGTATATAGTTTGAAAAAATAAACAATACCGTAAATTGATTATAAAAGAGGAGCAAAATGGTCAATCAAACTAGAAACATAATATCCATGTTTTATCATAAAATAAATATGGACCTCAAGTAAATCCCTACTATATATATTTGTATGTATTATTTATTTTGGAAAATTCATTTTTTTAAATTCATGATAATCCTGAAAAATTAATTTAGACAAAAAGTTTGATATTTTTCCTTAGTAGTTGATTTATATAAAAATCATATTTTGAGACTTTTTTAAAAGTATGGGTGAGCATTCTAAAGAAAAAGCTCATTGCATATATTATGAGTATTTTTTCTCAAGGTGCATTTAAAATAATTTGATAATCAAGGCATGAACATATTCATTGAGTTCAACTCTTAGGATTAATTTGTACCTATTTTCTTATTGATTAGAAGTTATGTTGCATGTACGAGACACGACACGATACGACAGTCCGACACACTAATTATAAAAATGTTAGATTTTGACATATTAGGACACATTTTGATATTAAATAATATTTTTTATATATATAATATAGTTTACATTTAATACATATAGCAGCCCATAATAAGTTATATAATCAATCAAATATCAAAATTTCATAAAATAAATGTAAAGCAAAAATAATTTTTCATGTCAAATTATATAATTGAAAATATTTGATTTATAACCACGTGGGTGGGCGTGATGGTTCAGCATCTCGTCCCTTAAGCAAGTGGTTGGGGGTTCGAACCCCAACTCTTGTGAATGGAAAGCATTCTGTGGCCAGCTCTTTACCGCTTTGTGCGCTGACCCGGGGCGAAGGATTAGTCTCGTGGCTATCGGTTGTAGGGATACCCAGATGTGATAAAAAAAAAATATTTGATTTATTTTTACCAAAAAAATATTGATTTATAAATTAATTTTTCATGTTTTGTTAAAAAGATAAAATTTGGATTTGCATGAGCATTGACTGCATGTCAGAAAACGTTGACCGGGTGTTGGACACATGTCATAGCAAGTCCATATTCGACACGCATTTTATTGAAAAAAAGTGTGTTTGTGCTTCATAGATTAGAAGTGTGTAAGGCAACTTGTATCAATAAGAGAATAATTATCTAATAAAATTAAGGCTTTCATACTTTTGACTTAGAGTTAACCTGAAAGTGTAACACCTAGAAAAATATTAAAATAATCTAATTAAAAAAAATGGTTGTGAGGGGGGCAAAGTGGAGGCACCCCCTCCAAGCTATTTTTTTATTTATTTATAAAGGTATTATTATATTATTATAAAAAAAAACAAATCGAAATTCTATCTAACCCAACCCCCCCCCCCCCCCCCCCAAAAAAAAAAAGTTAAGTGATGGCATGTGGGAAAAAAATAGAGAGAGAAAAGGAAAAAAAGATAAAGAAAATAAAAAAGTAATATTGGGAGAGAACCTCGTTATCCTAATTTCATTCATCTTCATTTATTTTTATATTTAAGATTGGTATTTGGAAGTTATTTATTTAAAAGTTGTGAAGGTATCGTTACTGTGGTGAACCATTTTCTTATGTATTTATTCTACTCTTTTTCTTTTATCTTCCATCTTTGGTTTTCTCTTCTACCTTTTTGTCTATGTTCTAAACTTTGGTTTTGTTGATTTGATTGTAAGAATAATATTGAATCTAGACTATGGAACTAGTTGATTTGTGTTCTTTTGGTACCAAATGAATATTAGCAGAATATGTAATATTTAACTGAACGATTATGGTGTTAACTAACCCAAGGAAGTTTGGGTTCTTATGGTAATATTGTAAGGGACACTTTATTTGACTTTGAGCTTAGTCACTCAGTAACCTTTCTCATTCAGAGACGCCTACAGGCTTGGTTTTAGTAGTTTTAGTTAAATATTACACATTTTTTCTATGTTTATTACTTAGTTATTATTGAAATATAGGCTTTATTATCGTGAACATGCTTTAAGAGAGTGATATTTCCATTGAAGCCATTAGACTGGTTATAGTTTGAAAATCTCAATATTACTGAAATTTATCTCACTAGTGTTTATGTTTATACTTACAGTTTCAGAAGAAAAAAGCATGCCTAATATGTGTAACCTTGGAAAGGGATAGAGCGTCATTATTAATGACTTTGAAGACCGTACGGAGTCCAAGGTGATCGTGTATACCCATGGAGTGACTGTAATTTTTATCCTGATAGGGCAGAAATATTTCCTTTCAGTTTAGATGATGATTAAATATGTTAAGGCTTAGTTAAAGTTCTTACTTGATGTAACAAATAGATAAGTGTGAGAATTAAGCCTAACTAACTAGATGGCTTGTGTGCCATAACCATTGATGTAAAATAGTTTACGAACCATAAATCAATGTACCTAACTCTGTCATATGTATAATTAACTTTAAGTATGTTTTTGTCATATGCCTTATTTGATAACCGCTGCTTTAACATCTTATATCACTTTTATTATTTTATAATTCTTATTATTTCATTTAAGATATAATTTAAGAAGTAATGTGATATTCTCTATGCAAACTAGATACAGAGGGTGTTGCAGAAAGTGTGTTTTGCAATTATAAGGAGTTCGACAATTATGGCATAATTTACTAAGGTAAATTGGG